AGATCCAAGCCCTTGCTACAGCCCAAAGGGGCTGTCCTACCTATCCTCTGTCCCTGGCTTGGCACCCTCAGCTCTTCCTCCCTGCCATCATCTGCTCTGGATGTTTAGCATCTTTAAAAAATGCAGGGTTCAAGCCATTTAGGAAATCTGAAAATTATATGCAGCCTCTCACACAATTGAGTATATGTATGTTCTTTACAGTTGTGGGTAATATAGAATTGTATAAATATGTATGCTTATTTAAGAAAGAAAAACTGCAAAAATATTTAACATAAACTCTAGAAAAAACAAACAAAAAATCAGAATGAAATTCCCACTAAATAAACAGACTGAAGCAAATCAAAGCAAAAAAAAAAGTTAAACCGAAAAATAAATATTACTAAAAAAAAAAAAATTTGCAAGATGTGATCAATATTATGAAACTGAAGAACTAAAGGGAATACATTACAAGTGATAAATCTTTTAATTTAAAAATTCAATTAAGACATCCACATTGGCCTGCTCTATAACAGTCTAATACAATCATGATGTATTTATGAATAAGTCAGTTCTGGGTTTAACATCCCAGACTGTACTATCCTTACTTTTAAAGGCACATTTAGTTTCTTTCATGTGTTTTCCCCTTATAGTACAACTCTTGAGTTAAGGTTGTGAGCTTTAGCCTACAGGAACATTAATGTTAGCCCTGTATGAAAATACCTGCAACATACATCTAATTGGGATAGCCGGTCTGACACCCCATTTCCCTGGGTCCTTTAGCATTCCCACTTGGTAACCTCACCACTTGTCCTGAAGGGAACGGGTCTTGGGAGCTGGTTTAGCTGTCAAGGATTAGCTCTCCTTGAGCAAAGCTTTTCGACAGCCTCCACACTGAAGCAAGTGCTGGAGATGGATTTATGCCAGTAGGAATTTCTTATCTGCAACTCAGTTATCTCTTCATCAGTGACTACCGCCTCCTTCACCTGTGACACAAACAAGCCAGAGAAATCACATAGCCTTTCCTTTTGTGGTCGTATCACACTGTAGGATGATACTGATTCTTCAACCCATCTGTAGTGAGAACAAGATTATGGGTAACCAGATTGTATTGATTTCATTTTCATGCATTTTGCAAATGATAGAAACTGTATTGGTCAGTTCTGTTCAACGAAGAGCACTGATTTAGAGATGCAATTAATAATCACAAAGTATTGCCAGAAATTCTGTCAAGTGAAAAATTTTGTCATGTTTTGCCATCTAGATGAGACAGAAATGTTGTACTTAGCCATCTAAACATTAAGATAGTATCTGTTGAAATTAAATGCACAGAGCAGCATTGTATTATTGTTATTACTGCTTTTATATGTATCTTACACCACTAACTTTTCTGCATGTCACCCTCTCACTGGACATCTTGCAGATTCTGAGAAAAAATCAACCTTCGTGTCCATGAGACCTGGCCACTTTATAGAAGGGCTGCCCTAGCACGTTACCTAAATTGTTCTTAGCATATCAAAATATGACGAGTACCAACATTTTGTCAGAGTACACAAATATCCCTAGCTTTTCTGTAATGAAGGTATTTATTATTACTTCATCATGTCATTCTTTGTTATTTCCTGGCCTTTTTTTCTAGGTCCCGTAAAGCTCTTTTTTGCTCCTGCATATTGTGGACCATGGGCAATATTAAAAAATAATGTCTCTGCAATGTCTTTGAGTATGAAAATAATATAGGCGGGAAGTAATGCAGCTTTTCTGAGTATGGAGCAGATTCATTTATTTTGATATTCAGAAAGGCACTGAGTGGGCGCTGACTCAGCGGGGACAGCAACCGACCCTTGACTGGGGGCAAAAGCCCCTGCTCCGAGCCCCACAACAGGGGCAGCCGTAAGTCATATTGGGGACTGGGCCAGCAGGGGTGCAGGATGAAACTTCTTCCTGTGAGATGCTCAGAAAGTTGACTTAAGTGTGTGTGTGTATATATATATATTTGTGTGAAAGCAGGCTGCATCAAATATGGATGAAGCAGGTTTGAAATCAGCTGCAGGCTTGGGCTGATGATGCAGTCTTGGAGGCTTAAAAGCTTACACCCCATTTTCAAAAATGACTCAAGAACAGTGTTTTAAAAGTAATGAGACCACTGTAATAGGAAAAGGGTGCTTTCTGAAACACTCAAACATGTTAGTTACCTCGTGCAAATGGAAGTCACTAGGAACTTGGCTGGCTTTGCGATATCAGAAGGTGACTGGCTGAATTTTTAGACACCAAAACACGTTTGAAAAATCTTTCTATGAAGAGAAAAGTGAGATTTTAATTAACTGCATTATATGCCAATTATATTATGAATTATACAGCTCTGTTTACACAATGATCCAAGGCCCTTTCCTCTGCTTTCTGTAAGGTGCTAACATGGGTAAGAGGAAAAACACAAAAATCTTCATACAAAATGTAAAGGAGAGAAAAGCTCCAAGAGTACAATATGACTGTTAGGTGGATGCCACTAATTCTATTTTATTAACTCCAGTATTCCCAAAGGGTAATGGTCAGTGGTTTAGGATTTCTTCTTCAAGCTAGATCAAACTACTGTACCTTTTTCAGTCGTTTTTGTTTAGACTAAACATTTTTAAAAATTATTAATGTGCCAACTATATTTTTGAAAGTTTGAACATTTGTTTTGAAATCCCATTTGAAATTACGTGACAAGTTTTCCCATTGAACAATTGTTCTTATTTATCTTTTCTGATGAGTCCATGTGCACTCTTTATAACAAGGTATGGCACAGAGAGATATAGTGTAACAGCTGGGGCTTTTGTTTTCACTTTTGCTGGCACTATTATTGTCATTTGAGGCATTTTATTATCTTTTGTCAATCAAATTATCTTCTGTTATAATACAAAAATTGACATAACAAAATTGAGATATTTGGGTCTGTAAAAGAACATGCATATTTTACATTTGCAAGAAATAAGTTCTTCTATCCAGTGGTCAAAATGGAAATTCAGAACTGCCAGGAGCAGTTTTGAGCGATACACACTTACAGCTTTTCTTGGTTTCTTATCAAGGCCCCTATGTAGCTTTCACATGCAGTAATTTCTCAATAATCTAAATAAAATAAGTTTTATCAATCTTCTTTCAAGGATACTCCAAAAACAGTCTACTGACCCAACTTTATGAAGGTCTGTAGAGAAGTTTGAGAACTACTCATTCTGAAGCCATGTTTACCTTTATTCTATGTATTTCCCCTACATAGAAAGTATAGAACTAACTCTGAAATGCCAGAATACCGGCCCGCTTCAACCACTGACTATTGCATTAGTAATACGGATATTTTAGATGTTACTGCAATAATGATGATATCAGTATGGTATGAAACATTAAAAAACATAGAAAAATAACGTTAAAAATTCTGCAAAATAAAAAATAAACTCTCCAAGCCAAACGTTTGAAAAATCGAGAAGGAAAAATGTTTTTAAATTGGCATTTTTTGGAATATTTGGTTAAGCAAAAGTTCTGAAATAAGGTGCTTTGGTTCATAAAAGAATATGCATATTTTATACGCACAACAAATAACTTTTTATTTTTACTTAATCCAAAAGCAAATTTCATGCCTCTCCCACTTTGCCTCACTGACTCACTGCTGGGCATGTTGAGCTCAGTACCAACAGCTGAGTGACAGCAGGGACATGCACCACTTGGCTCTGGCAGCCCCAGCCAGCTGCAAGCACCCATGTTAAGCGGCGTGTAGGCATAGCATGCTGCGAAGCTGCTTACCCAGCAGGAGCATGGGGCCTCGTCCAGGGAGGTGCTGAGTAACCCCAGAGGTGCTGAGCCCTCTTTTCCCAGCTTGAGTTCAGTCCTGGGAGATGCCCAGCACTATGGTGGGCTTGGCAGGCTCAGGAGCACACCAGTTGTATTGCACTTTTGGGGATGAAGCATGCACCCTCGTCCCAGGTTCAGTGGCAGAGCAGAAGCTCACTCTTTTTCTTGACCATTACAGGGTGGTTCAGGTGTCCCAAAGACGCAAGGAGGGACTTACAATGCCTCTGCTGCAAAACAGAGGAAGCTATTGCTGAGTAGATTGGGAAATCTTCTTTGATTTCTCTGTCCCTCCCATATTTGTGCTCTTGCCATCCAAAACGAGGCCAGAAGTGAGCTGTGCAGCACATCCTCCCCTTGCTGTTGTTTTGAGCAGCTCTCCAGTTTCTCTGGCACAGAGCATGGGTACATCTCCCTCCCCACCGTGTCAGCGAGAGCACAGCCCATAGGAAGGGGAAGGTATGGCACGAGGAGGCTTTGCAGTTGGTGAAAGCAGAAAAATTTTCTTCCTCTGTTTCAGATATTCTTGTGGCCTAATGAATAAACCACTATTTTTTTCCCCAAATTAATATATTACCTCTTTAATGACAAGCCATTCTGCTCTGAGAGCTGCACTTCTGTGAACAACGTGCATGGAACTGACTTCTTCGCACCTGGAATTAAACAAATGGACTTACATTTTAATTCAAACTAATAATTTCTTAAAGTCCATACTCTTTACAGTAATATTCATTAAGGTCTTCTATTGTACTTGGTGCAAGGAGAAAACTGGTGATTGCATTCAAAGCAATGATAAGTTACCATTTTAATGATTCCTTATGTTGTGAGTAATTTATAAATCACTCGGTATCTTCCCAGCAAAGCTTGCCTTCTGTTTTTAAAACGTGCTCTCTAGTATCCAACAAAGGGTTTCAGTGCAATAAGAATTAAGGTGTGTCTCTTAGCTTTTACCTGCAAGCAATAATGATGTTGTCAAGCGTTTCAAGTGAGACCAGCCCAGGATTTTGGGGTGGGGAAAGTCACTCTGTTATACAGCATCTTCAGTGCTTCCCTCAGAGGGAGGCAGAGACACCTTGAAGAGCTGAGTATAAGGACATCTACCGAGTGTCTTTTTAAGTAGACACCAGAGCTGGGGGGGGGGAGGGGAAAAGGAACAGGCTTGTAACCATAACTCAGTTGGACTTGTATCCGAGAAGGCAGATGCCATGGATTGGCTCCCTCACCGAACGGCTGCTTTTCTGTTCCTTTTATTGGTAAGTCAGATTTTAAAACAATATTTGTAAACTCTGTGATTATGCCAGTTGAGTCTTCCTCGGCAGACCATTACATTTTACAGCGTAAACTACCCCCCCAAAAAATCTTGTGAAATTTAGCATAAAAAACAAAGCTGTGCTTATTTTAAACTGTACTTCTGAAGATTCTGTAGAAATAATTTCTTTTTTCATTAAATGCTGACAAATGTTTCTTTTGATTTTGACTTTCTGCAGTCTGTTGATGTTCAGTATGTGACTTTCTGTGTTTAATGCATGACTTTACAGGTGGACGTTGTCCGTGGCTACTATTTAAGGAGTCACTATTATTAATAAAAGTATTATCATTATAAAAATCCTAATAACTTGACTGGATATCATTTGGTTCTATGTCTTTTTTTTTTTTTATCAGTTCAGGGAATATGAAGAGCAAATCTCTTTTTCTGAAGTGATTAGAAAGAGTGCTTCAGAGCTGATCAAATCCCACAGCTATAGTCAAGATAAAAACAGGAAATTTAGTGAAGATCTTAGCTGAGTAAAAATCAAGACTTGGCCTATTATTTCACATTACAAAGAATTACTGTCTTGTAGTGCATTAGCGTCTGAGCTACCATGTGCTGAGCAAGTGAATCCATGATGAAAGTATCGCTCTTCGTGTTTGTTTTTCTCACTGTAAAAGGAAAGTTGCGGCTATGGTCAAGTGGCATAGTTGTACAATGTGTTCATCAAGGCACGGAATTTACCCAGAAAGGACTTAAAAGAATTATGGAGGCACTTCGACTCCTGCAATCTGTTTTTTGCATGGATTATTTTTACTCATCTATGCTGCTTTTCTGAAATTAGGTAGAGGCTTAAGGCCCTGAAGATTGAAAAGAGTAGGATTTCTATTATATAGAAATGTTGTTATAGAATAGGAAATCCTAAGACTTACTTTGAAAAGATAATCCATATAATCTTAGGTGACAGCTCTGCAGTCAGTAAAGTAGATCTAACCAACACAGGGCAGCTGCCAAGCAAACAATGACAAAACTTGGCAAAAGCAAGTTACGGTTCGGATGAGTTTCTGCTTGTTTAATGCAGTGCAGAGGTCTCTGAGATTGGCATGCTGCACATCACACTAACACTTCTGAATTTTCATGTAGCATTAGTGACTATTCTTTTTACTCAGTTACCTGGTGATGCATACGCCTGATGTGTTGAAGTTCAAAAAAAAGTTGACTGTACTGTATCTAAGATCTGTCCATTCAAAAGAGATTTTACTGCTTTATCTTCTCTTGGCAACTCTGGAGACATTTTCATTCTTTCAGTATATTATTGTTACAATTGTGACCGAGGCAGGGTATGTGTTGAGTCAGGAAAAAGGAGCAATTGTGAAAACTGCCATTATGTTTTGATGACTATCAAGTATTTGAACTTTTACTACCCATAGGAAAGAATTGTTTTTCTTATTATGCATTCTCCTGTGTTCATGGTGGCCTGTACAGCTTAATAGCATCTCTCAGCACTTTATAGAAAGCTGATGAAAAAACAGTAGAGATTAAATAAATTATAAACTATGTATCCGATTTTATTGTATTCTGAGAAACAGTCTTGGTTTTCAGCTTGATTAATCTTTCATAAAAATCACCTGTCTGAAAGGTGTGTCTGGTTAGTATATTCCTAATAAGTTGTATCAAATAAAATTGCTGTGGAGTTATACATGTTTTAGTACACTACTACACTTTCAAAAAAAGAAAACTTACCAGCCCTGAAACTAATAATTTTCTGTATGCATTTCACCATTGGTGGGACTGATTCTGCAACCCTTGCTCACGTGACTTCAAAGGCGTTATTCTCATGAGTAAGGGAGTTCTCTTTGTGATACTTGCACAGACACGTTTTATGGAAATAACCTGTTTGATCAGGTATGACTCTTCTCCTGCCAGCTATCATGTGACAGCTAATAATTGTAAATTCACCACATCTCATATGCACTTTTGTCTGGCTACATTTTCCCATGTGTTATCTACACTTTTTTTTTTTTTTTCAGTTGTTAGGCTATGGTTACACCTCCTACTCATAACTTGGTTGCATATAAAAATATTAAGGGGCCAAATCCTCTCCTTGCATATGCATGCAAAACATCTGCTAGGATGTAGCCAGGAACCTGCAGGCTCTTCTGCCAAAGAATTTTGTTGTAGAAATAGAAAATAAAGCAATTCCACATCCAAGAATTATCACCTAAGATTAGGTTCTTAAGTCTCCAGTTTTATATTTCCTAAGTAAAAATGGCCCCTAAGTAAACATGCATTTGCAGCTAGTGCACTCTAAGCCATATTTGAATTCAGGTTTTATTGAGGAGATTTATTGAGGAGACTTAGCAAGACTAATTTGAAAAACTCAAATTTGAATGATAATGGCATGCACCCTGTATTGAAATTACTTTTCTGTTATTTTTCTAATGGTTAAGCTCAGTTACTGTACGGAAATTCATTATATCCGTATGACACAGCATAACAGAAACAATCTCAGTGGAAACTTTCCCAAAGTGGTCAGTTCTTTGAATAAACAGATTTTAAAATAAATAAAACTTTGGAATATATTCTTCTGACTGACACAAGCATTGTCATACTTCTGCTGAAATAGAAATGGATTGTCAGAAATAGAAATATTGATGTCAGTTGCTAACACAGGAAGCAATAGAAACACCTGACTTCTGCAGAATTAGAAACCAAAATGCCAGAAAAATCATCCTGAAAAACTTCCCCTTTAAATTGGGAGGAGCACATTCATTAGTGACCTACGAAAATGAAAAGTATGGACAAAAACACATTCATGTTTCGATTTAAAAGTGATCAAATGGCTTCTTTTTAAAATATGAGGTTTTATCTTATGTATCAACTCTGCTTCTTATTATTTCATATGCACTGATTTATCATTTTTTAAAGAGATGCAGAATGAATAAAGGGAAGGGTTTGTTATTTCAACCCTTTAGTAGTCAGAGCTTTGGCTGAGTAAGAAAGACGTAAAAGTCCCAAAATGCTGACACAATCAGAGCTACCATGGCACCCGATGACTAATATAATGTGTGTGAGTTCTCAGCACTCCTCCCATCCAGGCCAAGAACAATACCGCTGTTGACTTCAAAGAGAGAGAAGCAGTTCCAATATGAATAATGCTGGGAAGATGTTAAAGGCGTGTTCAGTCATTTAGATTTGAGTAGGTGGAGGAGGGAGGATTCCATAATTGCGTATAATATTGCTTGGCAGTCAATTAACGATTAGTTAATTCTTGTTTGTAAATTGCTTTGAAGGTGCAAAGAACCATACACATCCTATGGGCCTAATTCTGTTCCCAGTTAATCCGAATAAATCCAGAATAACTCCAGTGTGACTCTAAGGCATCATTTTGGACATAAGGTTCACGCTCTGCATCATTATAATAAAAGACAAGCTTTCAAGCAGGCCACTGTGCAAACGACAGTCACCATAAACATGTTTCCTGCCTGCATCTCTCCCAGCCCAAACCAGAAACAGCTTGTGCAACAAGCCTCTAGCTTCTCTGCAGAGTTTCCATTTTTTCACAGTCTCTCAGAGACTAGCAGGACAGCAAATCTTGATATCAGCTTGCCTACCCCAAGGTCTTCAGGATGCATCCCACACATTCCAGTGGCTCCTATTGCTTTAATTATCATTAATCACTGAATCTATGGAAAGTACTGTACTCAGATACTAGTTTAGAAGGGAAGTTTGTTCACTACCTAGAAGTATGCTGGAGTTAGCTGCTAGGAGGCAGCACTTCTCTGCTGGAAACAGCACTATAAAAAAATGGGGTTGTATTGCAGAGACATATTAGAAACAGACAGCTGGGGTGGGGGGAGCCTTCTAACTGCTGGTGATAGTGGAGAAGTGGAAAACATTAGTTGGGGAGGCAGAGGAACCTCCATCCCTGGATCAAGTTAGATAGATGTCACTCCAGAATTGTTGAGCTTTAGCTGCTGAATTAGACAACTTTATCTGATGTCTGCCTGCTCTCCTTCCTATAACATGGCAGTAACTGAGAGAGACATATCAAATGCAGACATGAAGTTCATCGGATCAGCCTTTTCAAACAGTATTACAAACTGTACTAAGGACTCCGGATTCAAAACCATCAAGACTTCTCTTCTATTAGCAACACACAGCAAAATGGTTTTTTCCTTAGCTAGCACGGGACAAGTGTGGAAATACGGGGCCTAAATTTACAATCCCTGGCATTACTGAGGAACAAATTCCTGACATTCCCATTATCGACGCTCAAAAACAAAGGATGAAACTCCAGTGTAAAATGTATATTCTTCACTGCTTGAAAACAGAACTCCCTATAGGCTGAAATCAAGTGTTTTATGAATATGAATAGAATTCTTTATGAGCATAATTCTTATTTCAGAGATACTCAACACAGTTTTTCAGTTAGGCCTGCTGAATATGAGAATGATATGGCTGGATGTGAGATATTAGTTTCACTGTTAAATAACAGAATAGGCCACAGGATAAAGACAGTAGACAAGATTCACTAACATCGCACTGGGAGGTGTATACCCATACTCTTCTGGGTCAAGACAATTGCTTGCATGCCAGAAGGGATTTCACCTTAAGGGTGGAGAGGATTTCACTATACTCACCAAAGGAGGCTCCGCTCTGCTGCTGGGATCAACTGATAACAGACATTGAATTAGCGCTATTTCTGGTGGACTTACCACTCAGGTTCTCTGGTGAGGGTGTAATCTGCCCCTTCTACTCTCCCATGTTTCCCCAGATTCCAAGGGGGATTATAAAAGGACAGGCCTGAGCTCCCACTGGGGTGAAAAAAACCCAGCAGTTTAAATGGAGTCTGATATTGTCCCTTCTCTGAGATGACTAACAGCTGCACGTGAATTTGAACCCCATTCTGCAGCTGAAGATTTAAATAGTCACCAAGACATAAACTCAGAATAAAAGATGTATTGACAATTTTAGCACAACATGAATGTATTGTAATTATTTTCCTGTAGAGTACTTAAGCATTTATGTCAATAGCTTGCTCAAAGACACAAGAAAAAAAAATCCTTAGTCCATGAATAGTCCAATAAATTTCAAGGTATATGCACACCAAATGGGCCAATCCACAGTCTGAATTCCCTCATTCAGAAGCAGATTAGAGTAGCCATTACGTGCCGAGATCTCAAGGAATGTTCTGGGCAAGATCAGATCATTGGAGACATTGCTTTGTAAATGAGAAATGGTGGACCTCTTACGCCATATCGGTAAATGGGGAAAAGGGGTAAGAGAGAGGAAGGAGGGTGAAGCTGTTGTTCATTAATCTGTTGCATGTAAGAGGTTGTTTTAACATGAAGTACGTGGAAAAAAGTCTGTGCCCATCTTCCAGCCTTGACAGAACAATGCAATAAATTGGAAGTGAGGAAAGTCCCAAGAAGTAAAGCTACCATAGAGAAAAAGATTGTCACGGATTTTATCCAAGTATAACTGACATAAAACCCTCCAGATAAAACATGTCAGACAAAAAAAAAAAGCTATTGAACAGTACTGGGAAATGATAAGGAAAGTGGAAAATTGATAACTACAGCTGTTAACCACATTTGGTGAGAAAAGAGAAACTCTGCAACATCTTTTGAGTCACCTGGATATTTTGTTTCTCCCAATGATGAATGAAGCAAGCATCCAGTCCTCCAAATCCCATATTGTGCACCCTTTATCATCTGAAGAGAGCAGAGGCAGGTCCTAAACCCAAAAGAGATGCTCTGAAGAGGTACATTCACCAAGTGAACTTCATTGTCACACTTTATTTAGGAACACCGTTAACAAAACTGTGCCTTCTTTTAAATTGTGGTAATCAAGAAATTGAGGATTCTCTATTATTTTCATTTTAATTTTAAAGTAATTACATATTGCTTCTGATCCTGCCACCTTTATTTACTTAAGAACTTTGGTTGCATAGCTAGACCTCAAATCAAAGCCCACTGCACTCCAGGGAAATCTGCCTGATGACTGCAGTTGGCTTTCCATCTTGCATTGAATCTTTTCAACCTCAGTGGGAAGTTTCAAGAAAACATTTTCATTATTTTTGGTTAAACTACATAGTTAAGTACTCCAGGTCTACTGCAGACTTTCTAAATAAGAAAAAATAAAGAATAAAGAATAAATTCTTTAGAATAAATAAATACTCCTTTTCTAGTTTCCTAGACATACTTTTTAATAACAACTCTTGCAACTACTTCTCTCTTCAGCTGAGGTGTTACAGCCTAAAAATCTGTGTAAAAGCTGTATTTTGATGTTTGAAATTTGCTATGGCACATCCATTCAAATTCAAAGTTCTACCTTGAAAGACAGAATTAATTTTGAAGGTGTTAATTGTCGAGGAATTCAAGTGATGGATAGAGAAAAAAATGAATTGCACAAGGTCATTTATGGGAATACTGTAGCTACTGCCTAGACAGGCTGTTGCAATAGACTTGAGAAAAAGTACTGCTCCAGTCCTGCAGTATAGCAATGTATGGCAGTTGGGTTTTGCTTACTGCATTTTGCCGTGCATTTTTATATGCCAATCTTCTTATTGTTCTTGCAGGTACTCTTGGATTTCAGCACAGGATTTCATGTAGAGGTAATATATATTTCTTTAGAAACTGGTTTTCTGATTAAATGAAATGTAAACCAATGCAAAAATGAAATGGAAAATACTGAGCTAAGACATTTCTGAACTTGACAATTGAAAATATATTTAAATATTAAACAGTTGCAGGTAATAACCTGCTCACCCTCTCCAGAGAAGTTCTCCTGAACCTAAACAAGTTTCATCAGCGCCAAGGAAAAACTAGATTTCAAGCAATGAGTGAAGAACAAACAGTAAATAGTCGATTAGTAAATGGTTTGTCACAAGCTCTGAAACAGAAATCTCAAGCAGACCGTGAAGCTGGGGAGCAGGGTCATAGTTCCCCAGCTATGTAGTGTAATCATTTATTTCTTCATACATATACATGAGGAATTTATTGCAAAATGTACCAAACATGAAGACTCTGATTTTGCTTTCAATACATCACCAGCGTAAGAGCAACATGAGAGAAGTATCTAGCCATGTATTGATTATTAATAAATTATTTAGAATATTTATAGTACATTATTTAGAATAATGTACAGTCTTAGAGTTTGGGACTCGCAGACATATAAAAAAGCACATGATCTATAAAAATCCCTTTTCTCCTTATTGTTGGAAATTCTAAATGTCTGTATTAATTTAAAATGAATTGAGGTTACTGGTCATGTGATACTGGAACTCTCTGTCAAAGGTAAAGGAATGGGATGAAAATGGAATGGCAAGATGGAAAACCTTCAGAAGACAAAAACGTGAATGGATCAAATTTGCTGCAGCTTGTAGAGAAGGAGAAGATAATTCTAAGAGGAATCCAATTGCCAAAGTAAGTAGAAAGAAAACCAAAATTGTTCACTGACAAGGAAGTTTTTCTAAAGGCAGGCTGATAAAACCAGAGAGATTTAAAAGTATATTTGCTTAGAGTAGTCAAAGCGATGAATGTAGAATAAAAGAAAGATTCTGCAATATTTCCAGCTCTGCTGAGACAGTCTCATAAGGTGAACCCATGTGGCTGCTGAGGAGTGACCAAAGGCTTCCTAGAACATTGCCATCAGTCTACCCCCTGGACAGCTCCAACCATAGTGTCTTTGTGTGCAGCAACTGTGTATTAGATTGCAATATTCTTATTTCCTCTCTCACCCTGAGAAACCCTTGAGGAGAAGTTCAAGGATAGTGCATGACTTCTGTGGGCAACAGAGCAAAGAAGATGTCTTCCTATCCTCTCACCATGACCATACCCTTACTGCGGGCCAGTCACAGTGTGATACTCTTGGAAGTTTCTCTCTCCACTTCCCTGCCAGAAGACTTAAAAGAAATAGACAGCCTGTCCAGCACTTAAGGGGAGATGGATCTCTGGGCTCACTGTTTTGTAGAAGAGCCTTCCATTGGTTTTGTTGATTGAACCTTGTGATAAGTGGTTGAGAATTGAAATTATATAGAATTTTTTCACAGGAACTAATAATAGGGGAAAAAAGCCCTGCAGGTGTCCTCAGTAAACTGGCATAAATTATTATTATCTATTATTGTAGATCCGATCAGATTGTGAAGAAAACAATCCAATCACATATAGCATCTCTGGAGTTGGAATCGATCGTGCCCCCTATGGAATATTTGTTGTTAACCCAAGAACAGGAGAAATTAATATAACATCGATAGTGGATAGAGAAGTAACCCCAGTATTTGTTGTAAGTACTCCTCTTTTTCTTTTACCCTTATAATGATGGGGTGGGGCAGGGAGAGCAAAAGGAGACAAATTCATTTTTTTCAGATTGTTACTTTGCTGACTTCACTTTTGGTTTTAAAATGAGTAAATCTCTTTATCTAGATACGTTGCTTTGCTAAACACTCAGTGACGGGTGTAGATTTGGAACCACCTCTTGAACTTCGAGTCAGAGTTCTGGATATAAATGATAACCCTCCTATATTTGCACAAACTGTATTTACAGGATCTATTGAAGAAAGCAGTATGGACAGTAAGTAACTATGTTATGCCTATTATAGTATAGTTAGCGAAGCTCCCAGAATACAGTTAATATAAACCTGGGGTGCTCACTCGACTTTTTCTTAGGGAATGACATATATTGGCCAGGGTTACTGCAGAGGAAGGAGCGACAGATGTTTCTCCAAGTGCTATTCGAGCCGGGGCCCGAGCTCATTGCTTAAAATTAAGCAGCGATGCTTCCTTCCCCCTTTCCTCCCACACATGAACGCTGAATGTTCCAGTTTCTAACCATACTATCATGCAAATTCTTTCAGATGTGAAAATTTAGAATAAATTCATTCTTTCTCATTAAAAAAAATTAACATTACACCTACACTTATTTCCTTTGAGGGTATATAAAACATGTTTTTTTATTTCAAATATTTGTATTTGTAGCCAGTGTATTGCAGTTGCAGTAGAATATTACTAAATAAACCCTTACTTAAACCACTAAAATGGTTCTTTTTGCCAAAAGTACAGCAATCAACATTAGACATACAAATAGCACTGAGGCAATGGTGCCTAACACTCATTTTCTACTTTCTAGAAATTCTCATTTAAAACTGTGGACATTTCTTACATGGATATCTACAAGCTCAGTACTTACTGTTTTTACATAGTCCCTATGGTGACTTAAAGAAGTTCAGTGAAAATCTGCATTACTTCATCTGACCTTAATTTTTAATGCATTTTAAAGTCATTAACATTCAGTCAGAATCAGTATGCCAAAATTAAACTTTTGTTTTTCTTTGTAAATGTCACTGAATAGATAGCATTCTATCATTTTTATACACCAAGATTTAGCATTGTCTTGATGAGTTGTTTGCAGGAACAAAACAGATTTTCTGATTTGTTTTTTTTTAATATTATTTTTTATTTTTAGACACACTGGTGATGAAAATAATTGCATCAGATGCAGATGAACCTAATCACTTGAATTCTAAAATTGCCTTCAAGATAGAGAGTCAGGAACCTTCAGGTCCACCCATGTTTATTATGAATAAATATACAGGAGAACTCCATCTTGCAAATTATCTTGACAGAGAGGTAACATTTCCCTTTCCAAAGTTAAATGATATGATGTTGTGGTGTATGTGTGTTATGAGAGTGGGGAAAAAAAAAAAAAGATTGTGGTTTATACAAAAATTAAGGGAGAAATGCATTTTTTCTATATGTTACAATAAAATGTCTAAGGCAAATTCCTGCATTAGGAAATAGTAGCAAGACATGACTATTTATAACGTTTAAGATGTACAAATGGTCCTTCTAACATGCTCATTTATCTTTCTGTGACAGCAACACAGTAGCTACACTCTTGTTGTGAAGGCATCAGACCGGGATGGAGCTGCAGATGGAATATCATCCCTTTGTAGCTGTAACGTTAAAGTTATTGATGTCAATGACAATTTCCCAACTCTCGCTCAAAGTTCTGTAAGTCTTTAATACCAAAAGCAACATCACTGTTTTAAACCCCTGTTCAAAAACCCAGTTGATAACAGAGCCCTTACTAACCTGTAGAGCACTTTCACATTTGAACACTCCACTGGATTAACAGGGTTGTTTCCTTGAAGCATGCTCAAAATCCAATCCGTCGCTTGCACACCAATTCTGATAACATACACAAAGATTATTTTTGCATTCAGAGAAGTCCATCCTGACACTGACTTCTCTGTATTCAGAGAAATTCAGTTACTCAGGTGTCCAGACCCATGCAATACCGACAGAGTACGTAGATTAACCCAATCTTTATAGGATCTTTTCTTATAGAAAGCACAAATCCATTTCCTCTAAGCAGCTTCTGCAAACACTTGAGGTGATACAGCTCTTCAGATCTGCAACCAGAATCACAATTTACCAGAACACTCATTTTTTATTAAATTGGCATGGACTGTGGGCAGGTCATCCTTCAAAAGAATCTCTCCAGTCAGCTCTGTTTTCCTCACGTTACATATTTTAGTGTTTGCTAACAGGTATTTATGTGTCATTCCAGTTTTCAGCAAGTATTTCAGAAAATTCACTCAGTTCAGAACTGCTACGAATACAAGCTCTGGATGCTGACGAAGAGTTTACAGACAACTGGTTAGCAGAGTTTTTCTTTATATCTGGTAATGAAGATAACTGTTTTGAAATTGTTACAGATCGAGCTACAAATCAAGGAATCCTTAGAGTAATTAAGGTATGGATAAATATTGTGATTCAACTGTTTAAATAATCATCTTAAAATAGTTTTAATTAATTGTTAACAAAATTAAACAAGCAATAAAAACATTGTCAGTCAACCCTTTAAAATAGAAAGTATCTAAATAAAATTAAAGATACTTTTATTTATTATCTAGTTCTCTGTGGTTTATCTTTTAGGAACTGAATTATGAGCAGCTCCAAACTCACTCAGTGATTATTGGTGTCAGAAACGTAGCTCCCTTCCACCACTCCGTTGCACATGACTTCCAAATGTCTGGAACACCCCTCATAATAGAAGTAAAGAATGTGATAGAACCACCAAGATTTCATCCATCTTCAGTTGTGTTTTCTGTATCAGAAAGCGCAAGAGTGAATTATGTTGTGGGAACATACACAGCCATCGATGAGGACACTGGAGCTATTGCATCAAATGTTGTGTAAGCTCTGCTCTGCTTAACTCCCTGAATGGAATAATTCTTTTAATTGAGATTTCAGTGGGATGAGGAATAGGTATTTCAAAGGGTGCTTTAGAAAACAGCTTAAAAATGTTAATAGATTAGCAATAGAATAATAGCAATAGAATAGTATATGCTTCAGCCTGTTTTTATGCTATGATTGCTTTTGTTTACTGACCTACTTTCCTTAGCCTTGTGCACAAAAAAAAAAAAATATAATTTTTCTAACAGGCTGTAACTTAAATAAATCAGAAGAGATTTTTTTTCTAACCCAACCTAAGAATACTTTTTCTTTAAATGTTTGCTACAAATAGGGAATTTGTTAGCGTCTCTAAAAACACAAGCAGAAAACCCCAATAATGGGCAATATTATACAATCAGAATAGAAGAGGTCACTACCAGCTCATTCTGTAGCAAAAAAAGAAAAAAAATTATTTGACATATATTTCTGCTGAAATTAATGATAATTAATGGGACCATAATTTGCTTTTTCATGTATGTAGAAATAAACACATCCAATTTACAAAGGTTTGAAAAATTTTCATAAAACAGAGAAATACATTAGCAAATACAACAGTAGAACATTATAGGAAGAGCTGTAGATTTAACTAGTGATATCAACAGGGGTTCTAGTAAAGGTTTACAGGGTCCAGAAAAATTTTACTTTTAGACTATGATACCACTTTCAAAATATAATGGACTTCTTCTTACTTTATTCCTAATTATTTTTCTGGTCTACATCTTTTGAAGTCTACAGGAATTTTGCTTGAACAAAGGGTGAAATGCAATAGCACCTAGTGCAGCCTAAAGAAAAATATTCCAAAGTGACAAATATTATTTTCAAAATTAATATGTAATACATATATTCATAACATAATGCAGAGTATTTTTACTTCACCAAATACAGATATAGTATAGGACGTGATCCAGCTGCCTGGTTCAGAATCAATCAAAACACTGGTGAAATCACACTGAACAAAGTTATTGACTGGGAATCAAACTATGTGCTCAATGGGCAGTACAGAGCAGAGGTTCTGGCTATCACCAGAGGTAAGAAAATAGATTAAGTTTTCTGAAACAAAACTCTCTTTGTTCCAGATTTCTCTCGATGTTTTTTTCCTGTTTCTGGTTTTCCCACCTGAACTGCATTATTTATAGTATCAGTATTCCCTCCTGACCACACATATCTTCTTTTTACAGGGGTTCCTCGATATACTGCTACTGGCACCATTGTGCTTTCAATGCAAGACATCAATGCCAATTGCCCAACCATTAATACTGAATTAAGGAAAGTATGTATGCATTCCCCATCAGTGATTATCACAGCAAAGCATGTGGATGGTTATACATATGCTCCCCCTTTTACATTCAGCATACATGGTGAACCTCAAACTACATGGATTATCAGATCAATAAATGGTAAATTAACCTACATTTTATAACAGAATAAACCATAGTAATAAGCTCTTATCTAAGATAACAGATTAGGATAACCTTTTAAAAACAAACAAAACAGTTATTAGAATCTTTTCTAATCTCACTTAAATGTGATTTTATGCTCATATGAATCCAAGGAGTTGCTCTGGATTTGCATATATCTATATGTATATATGTATGTGTATATATATGTCTGTGTATATATATATATAAAAGTCATATTAGAACTAGAATCAGAATCATTACATGTGTTTTATCTAGTTATCATCTTTTAAAAGAAACTAAAAATATACTGATAAAAATAGAGCAGCAAAACTGTACTTTACTTGAGTGTAGCTATGATAAGCACTTCTGTCGGTCTAAACCTAATGAGGTAATTCAAAAGGAGTAATTTGATGCATTTTTATTTCTATATTATCTAAAAAATTCTAAGCATATGACAAAACTCTCAAATTTATTTATTAGAGTATAAAGTTATTAGTTGGCAGAGCTTTACTTTTATGAGAGGCATATGAAAATGGCAAATAAAGATTACAGCTTTTGCAATTTATTGTACAAATTGTACTTACTTGTATTTCTAAAAACGTTTTTAGTCAGTGCCCAGTGGAGTTTTTCCAGTTTCCTCCAACAGGACATAACAAACTAATGAATTAATCAAATTTCATACATTACTAAATGACAGAATTTGCATAACTTACTGTATGCATAGAAGACTACATTAAATGGTAAATATCACAATTACAACTACTCTTGTGTCTCCTATTTGTTCTAACAAATGTAAATGTGTAGCTTTAAATATTTTAAAACTACTGAAAAGACTTTTGAAAAACACATGTAAATTCCTTCTGAGAGGGAAAAAAAACATATAAAACTTGCAATTTGTATGTTCACCATTGTGAGAATAAAAATCAGGAAAAGCAGCAGCAGATATAAAAACCTGCATTTGCCCCTTTTATACTTCTCAGGTTAAAAAGTGATGACTAGACTGATCTGGCTCAGGTTTTCCAAAAGGAAAAACTAGCATAGATGAATATCATAAGTTTCAGCTTTGGATAAGTACTGTAGACGCATAAGTAACTGAAGATCTTAGAATGGGAAAACTTAGTTTTCATTCTGTTCTATGAACATTACTCACGAAAATTACAGATTTGTGCAGTATTTATAGTCAATACCTTAATCTAAATATTTTTCTCTTTTTTTTTCCCAAAGCTTCCTCTGCAGAACTAATTAGTCAAAACATTGACTTTTACATGTATAGGATCTATATCAGTGTAAGAGATAACCAAGGCCGACGCTGCCCTAAACCACATATAATTCCTGTGCAAGCTTGTCAGTGTGATATTCGTAATTACTGCACCAGTGGGGCCACAAAAGTAATTATCATCGGTGGTGGTGGCAGAGATGATGGTAAGCCTGAACAAGGCACTGTTGCAAAGACAGATAGGCCATTTTACACTGCTGGATACACTGATGGATACACTGATGAATACACTGATGAAGATATTACTACAAGCACTGATGAGAGTTATGATGGATATTATGGCAGAAAGTTCCGATCTTCTACAACACTTAGCGGTGCTGCCATTGGCCTGATGTTTCTTGGTGGATTAATATTTGTTTGTAAGTATAAAATTCAGACAACATTTTATTAATTTTCTAAAAAGTGTATTTTTTTAATTCTTCTAAAATAAGGTGAGTTTTCTGGTTGGTTCTTAACCTGTTGGCTCCCATGGGCCATTTGACAGAGAAAAAATTGTCTTTGAAATTATAAGAATTTCTATATATTTTATATTCTACATATTTATATACATATTTCATTCAGAAATAACTATCTATCTCCTTCCTAAGACTTAGGGCTTTTTTCCTAAGGTGTTATCCAGTTCTCAGACCGTCAGACAGGGTAAAAATGTTAGTAGAAAATTCAAAAGGTTTAGTGGTGGACTTGGCAGTGATAGGTTAACGGTTGGACTCGATGATCTTAAGGGTCTTTTCCAACCTTAACGATTCTATGATGCTATGATTCTATGAAAAGATTTGGGGCAAGAGCTGTCCGTGTCACTTACAACTTACACTTTGCAATTCATACTTCCGTTTCATTACTAAAAGAAATGGGCAAGTATCAGCTCCAAGTTGGGTATGAAAAGATGTAAAGAACAGGCTTCCTTTGAACTAAAAGACAGATTTCAGTAGTAGAACAATAAATATAATCATCTTCAATTTTGAACATTTTGGCTATTGCTGCCAAACATTAAATCTATTAAAAACAAGTAGCATTTGTGATAACGGGATCAAATGAGATCATTCATTCATATGAATGATGTCCTAGTATTTTTTAAGAAATATGAGTTTCATGACTCAAGTTAAACTTTATGCAAGCAATTACTTCTCAGACCACCATAATCAGATGTGATCATCTTTCTTTCATGGCCTAAGCATCAAGCACTCAACATCTAAAATTTCCCAATGCAGAAATACTGACTACACAACCAGAAGAAATGGATTTTTTTCCTTATTTTTTTGAGGAGGGGGGTTTGGTTTGGGTTTTGATCTTTGATTAATAGGAATCAACAAACACAAAATTTTGAAGTTGCAAAAGACTGCTTTTTTTGTAGTTCCCAGGTGATTAATGTTACAGGACAGACTGTCTTTCTCCCTTTGGAAATCTCCTCTCCTAGTCTGGAGTAAATATGTCCTTAGTCATGCAGTGTGAGCTAGCACTTTGTACACTATATAGCCCGTTCCCCTTTTCTCTTCAGTTCACTTTAATGTTAAACTGAGAGTTTTAGATGCTCTGCTTAGTCTGGTGTAGGCAACTCTCTTTCCACTCCCTCTGCAGTGATTTGAGGTTCCTAACTTAGCCATCTAGGTTAAGGACCTAAAGACAGACAGAATTAATACTGCAGTGCCTTTCTAAAATGAGCAATGTTTTCAATGTCGGCGTTTAAAGCATTCAGAAATTTCCAACACTGAGTTCTCGAAACAACTAAGCATAATACAGCACACTGGGAAACCTGACTCACTCTATGTAATCATCTGTTAAAACTAGGGTTTGGGTTTGCCTCTATTGTTTTTTCAAATCAAGCGTTATGTATATGTGATGTGAAAAATGCAATTGGAGCCTTAGCCAAAGATTACTGTAGCCAGATGGATATCTCTCCACTGGTTCTCATATGTCTATTATTACTAATGTGTATTTCTTTTCAATTACAATATCTGAAGAGACAAATGTATGCTTATATATCAAGAATGAATATCACTGAATGCTATACATAGCAAGACTGGTTCTATTTGTTTAATTTTCATATGTATGCAACTTATATTCATTTAGCTGAGACAGATGAAAGTTTGTTCCCAGGTATATAGGCATAAATTTAGAGTAACAGCCCTACTCCACCCCCGCTTTGCTCTGCTACAACGAAAGGTACAAATTATTCTGAATTTCCAAATACATACATTTCCAAAAGCAGCTAATGATTCTGAAAGCCAGACTTGCAGGCTGCTTGGTTTGAAACATTTTAAAAGACATATTTTCAAAAGTTCTTGAGCACCTGCCCTCTGGGAAAAGCAGCTATTCCTGTGAGGAAGAGACAACCTAAATCCCTGTTACCTGTTTCGTTCCTGTTAAGTGATTCCAATTTTGATGTCAATGAGCGACTGTTGTGGCTGTGGACCTGGCGCTGCAGCTGGAGTTGGAACTGGATTTGAACCTGTACCTGAATGCACAGAAGGGGCAATTCATCCATGGGGAATAGAAGGTGCACAGCCTGAAGACAGGGTCAGTACATCCTATGTTTCTAAAACCCTCATATTTAACTCATATTTACAGAAAAGTTACATATTTAAATATTACATGAGTTACATATTTAGTAACTCATATTTACAGAAAAGACTGCATTTGACTAGAAGCATGAAAGTAATTGTAGCACTGTGTCATATTCTAAAAGAAGCCTGGCATTGTCAATAATTGCCAGGCAGATATGAAAGGTGATTCTTAATTAACATTTGCAGATGGAGTTTGTATGTTTTAAGTTGTGTTCGCTTAGCTTGGCCCAACAGTTTGGTGTTACTATTTCCTCAGCTGAAACACAAGAACTAGCAAGCTTTTTCAGTGCAAAGTAGGACAAAGTAACACAAACCATCTTCACCGATCACCGTTTATGTTGACAATGAAAAAAACTTGAATGGAGTCTTTTTTTTTTTTTTAAGTGGGGATGGTAATTAATAGCTATCGTTAACAGTTTAGACTGCTAATTCCTTAACATGATTCACAAAGTCTTGGTCTTCATATGGGAATTTCAAAGTCATCATTCAAGGAGTCAAAATGTTGTTTTCCAGGATGTCTCACACATTCTTGCCCCAACAACAGCTGCAGGAGGTGATTTTGGTGAGCCCTCTGGTAAGCAGATCCTAAAATTTTCTATGTGCGCTGTCATAAAGCTATCTTTCAGAACTACATGTCTTCTGATTCAAGGAGTGAAACTTTGGTTTCGCAGCTATAACCCAACCCTTCCAATCTTACATCTGCAGATAGTCAAACTGATGCTAGTAGGACTTCCAGTATGAATAAAGGATGAGCCTTTGATGAGCCTTTGAGCAGATTCACTTCTGCAAACTACATTTATTTTGAAATATCTGCCAAGGCTTTCAAATCTCAGGCAATTTTTCTTTATCATTCCAGCTAGCAAAGGGAGGGTCTTTTCAAGACACCAGTTTTAGTAGAAATCAATCTTGAGGCCAGAATAAGCAAATTTTCCTTCATAACTCCGTGGTGAAAGGTTCAGTTCTTCCCAGTTTCCAGGCTCTGCTTCCCACAAGGGAGAATAGGACCTGTCAAGCAGCCAGTTAATTACTGACCATCTGTGCATCAGCCTAGACAGAAAGCTGGTACATAGCACAATAAATGTATGCTTCTGAGATAAGGTTCCCCCAGGAATTCGATGGCCATAGAGAATAAGTCAAGCTGTGCAGTGCCACCTTCTCTTTCTCCCCGTTCCTTACTCCACAAGGAAGGAAGGATGCTGGCACTGATCCACTTTCACTAGCTTCTGACAGGAAGAAATGTCACTCTGCAAGACAAATTTGACTATTGATTATTCAAAAATGTTCTCATCCTTAAGGTAAAATCAAAAGAGAACATTTTGGGGCATAAACATGAATTAAGAGTCTTCATTCTCAGGGAAGTTCTGCTGCTGTGACAATTGAAAAGTTTAAGACTTACACATGTGATTTACTTTATTTCCACTGTTCAGTACCATTATGGTGAAAGCCCCTGGTTCAAATTCTGAGACTGATGAGATTAGATGAAAAAAACTATAATTTAGCCTATGTTTCTTAATGTAATCATAGTCAAGACTACTATATGCAATTGGTTTATTATATTACATGCTGATATTTAAGACCACTCATTCCTTGTTATCATATATGAAAAAATCTGGAGAAGATAAAAACCTGTAAGTATGACTTTATAATTTATTATAAAGGTCATTTTCATTCTGCATTATGAACACTGGTGGTTATTATGTTTCATTGTTGTTCTCCCAAATCCACCTTAACAATCTAATGACTAGAAAATGTGAAAGGAGTTACAAAGGTATTTCTTTTAGAAAAGAGTTTAAAGTAAAACAATTTTAACCCCGATGTCATCATAAATACACATTTATGTATTTGCATAAATATCCATAAGCATCATCTGACTTTCTAATGCAAATCCCACGACAGCATATATGTACACCAGACAGATGAATCTCTCCAGTCAATTACACAAGTAAATCATTGATTTTCTAAAGCACATATGCACACGCTGCCTAGCCTGAAGAATAAAAGAGACATCTGCTAATATGCTCTTAATTTTTATTGCAGTTTCAATGTTTGGCACCTGTGCATGGATCTGTGACCAAAATTAGTCTTAAAATACCTTTAGAAACTCAGTAGTGTCACTGTACTATTTGTAAAAACAACTGGCAAATTCTGTGTAAATTTTCGCAGAGCACAGGAAGAATAGCTTTTTCTGTTTTCAGACATATATACAAACACGTATGGAGGAGGAGGAGTAGTAGCTTCTGGTGTTGAAGAAACTACAGGGGTTGGCTATGGCACTGGTACTGGTTACGGAACAGCTGGAGGAATTTCTGGAACGGGGGAAGCAAAAGGGTCAATTGGAGGAACAATAAAAGAGTATCGAGAAGGAGGGGTGAACATGGCCTTCCTAGACAACTACTTCTCTGAGGTAATTACCTGATCTTCTTTGTGTTGTATCTGTGAGCCTACTGTTAGATTCTCCTCCCCAAATTACATGGTGGGAATCCAAAATAACTCCACTCAAATTGAAATTTCCATGATACAAGACTGGTGTGAGAGCAAAGCTGACCGTACTAGTAGGAAAAACTATGACACTAGTAGTACTGCTTTTGAGCTGCTGGCGTAGTAGATCTGATTGCTCAATAGCCTTTTTGTAAAACTGATGGACACAGTGCAGTTATGAGTAGCGAGCAATTAAATTATTTCAGCTTCCTAAGTGACCAATAAATTTATATATTTGCCTCCTTTTCCAGTGTACAAATAGATAATAACTTTGTGAAATTGTTCACACGTACTTCCTGTACAGCTCGTTTAATGAAATGACTTTAACCCTTAAGGAACTGTGAACACCAGCTCACTTTCTTCCTTATTTTTATTGCCATTTCTGTTCCCTAAACGACTTGTTAACTGCAAGTGACACATATGCAGTTTTGTAATTGGCAACATATTAATTAGCCTTTACATATGGGATAAAAAAATGCTATGGAGTTTACATGATTAATGCATGAATGGGATATATTTTCATAATTAGCATGAATTGTGAGGCATAAATACTATAATTGCATATGTCACCAAAATATCAATTAATACATAAGGATTGCTCTATTTCAAAATCTGAACAAGATTCAGCGGAGGAGAGGACAGAGCAGTTCTGAAGTCCCGAGCGTGGACTTCTCCCAGACCGTGATCACTCTGCCTAGGCTGGGAGCACTATGTATTAATCGTCTGCCAGCCGTAGGCCCCCACAGATTACCCCTCCTACTGACCATCTCAGTCTCCAAACCCTCTGCCTCTCCCTCGCAGGGCTCCCCTTCTGTCCTTCCTTGTTCCTCCAACATCACCCCTCACTCACTTCAAATTCTCCTCTTTCCTGCCTGATCCCTCTGCACTGACCGCCCCATCCCCACGGCCATCACAAATCAGTGATCTCCATCCTGCTCAGCATGGACTCCCCTCTGGGCTCACCAAGCTTTCCTCGCTGTGGCCAACCCTCTGTCCCATCCCTTCTGTCCTGGCCTCTCCACTGCTCCCCTTGCCATCCTGCTTTGCTCCTCTTCCTACTGCTTCATCCAGATATTGCTGCCCAAAGAGTACATTCATTCCCCCATCCCTTTCGCTCTCTCCCTTCATCCCACAGTCGGACCAACTGACAGCAGACCAAATTTGAGATGCTAAGTGTTTGCAGAAACAAGAATAAAATATCAGTAACATTTGAATAAACTTATTTCAAGGTCACAAAAATGTTGATGATATAATTTGTCCAGTTGATACCCTGTTTTTCAAGTCAGCTGAGCCTTACTGTGGTTAGGGAACCCTTACTACAGTTTGAGTCTTCGTGGTTAAAAACCTGATGAAAAGTCACTCTGTTCTGCTTTTTTCTCTGATTTTGCAAACTACAGAAAGCATTTGTGTATGCAGATGAAGATGAAGGTCGGCCAGCAAATGACTGCCTATTAATATATGATCATGAAGGAGTCGGTACTCCTGTTGGCTCTGTGGGTTGCTGCAGCTTTATTGGAGAAGATACAGATGAAACGTATTTGGATACATTAGGACCAAAATTTAAGACCCTGGCAGAAATCTGTCTGGGCAAAGAGATCGAACCTTTCCCTGATGTCAGCCCACCCTGGCCAGGCATTAATGTCACCTTTCCAAACCCTGAAAGTGATCTAAACCTCCCGCCACCTGGAACCACCATCGTTGTTAACGGATGTGCACCTATGCCTCCCCCGGCTGGCACTACAACAGTTGTTACTGAAAACACCTACACATCTGCGTCAACCATACAGCCCCCGAGGCCGATGCCGGATCCTTTGCTCCACGGCAACATGACGGTGACTGAGACCTACACCTCCGGCTCCCCCTCTCTTTGTGTTGATCCTCTGCGTGCATCCAACGTTGTTGTAACAGAAAGGGTTGTTGGTCCTGCATCTGCCTCTGATTTGCGTGGCATGCTAGATATCCCCGATCTCACAGACGGGTCCAACGTTATCGTCACGGAAAGAGTAATTGCACCTAACACCCGGCTCCCGACCTCTCTGAGCATTCCTGATTTGGTAGATGGGTCAAATGTGGTGGTGACAGAAAGGGTGTTCAGGCCTGCCTCTGGCATGCCAGGCAGCTTAATAAATATTCCTGCGGAGTTATCAAACGCCCACAACGTGGTAGTCACCGAGAGGGTAGTGTCAGGGTCTGGGATGAGCAGCCTAGGGGGGGCAAATCTGGGGAGCCTGAGCAGCACGGGTCAGGTGCTCAGCGGCGAATGTCACCTTGGCCAGGCAATGGGTACGGCGTCCCCCAGCACCTCCCGGAGAAGAGTGACAAAGTACAGCACCATGCAGTACTCCAGTCAGTAAGGCCTCTGCCAGCGCCCCTTCCTGCCAAAACCACCATTTGCACCAACACTTGTCAGCTGCCACTCACCAAGAATATTGTTATTATTTATAACTAGGAAATAGCGCTAAAATTTCAGGGATTCCTATGTGTGTGAGGATCTCCGAAGGGTGCCCCGTTTCAAGGTCAAACGCAGGACTTTTTGTCAGTGAAGGGAAAGTTGAAGTTAGCTTTGAATTTATTTCTTTCTCTCCACCTAGCACCACAAGTGTACAAACAGATACTAATGTTTTTGGAGAGAGATCTGATTACCGAGCAGAGCAATGAGAGGGGATCCTTGTGTGCATACAGTACCAGCATGAGTTAATGTCATATAAAAAAGTGTTAAAATACTGTACTGCTGAGTGATCTCCCACAATAAGTAGATTTGGGTTAACAGCCCCTTACTGACAAGACAGGAAAAGAATGTAATTAATAATTAGTCAACTCAAGACTAAATAAGCACTTTCAAATGCATCACTTTGCATGTAATTCAAGGAGCGCTACAAAACAGCACTTTCAATCATTTCTCCAATCATCATCAGTAGTTATAAATAATAATCATATAAACACAACACATTTTCATCGCTTTCTGAAGTTCTCAGTAAAACAAACACTCTGCCACGGCCTGCCATGTTGTTACTCTCATGGCGAGGAGCATGACCAGCAATTCGCCACAGCCAGCGCTTGCCGCATTGACACTGTCACCCAGGAAGAAGTTGGCTTCATCTTTTCTCCATTACCGTTACAGCTTTACTTAAATCTAAAAGGACTTCAGTGACAACCAGGAGCTCTTAGTCAGATTTTTGTGCCAAACTATGACTACCATTTAAGTCTCCAATGGCAGGTTATATTAAGAGGGCTAAAATATACCATGCCACTTCTCTTTTCTAATACTGACAAGAAAATAAAGTCTTAGAAGCTTTGTGATGTGAGGAGGCAACAGCAAGTATTATATCACTGACACTGGTAGCTGAAGTCCTTCATTAAAAGAAAAAAACACTTGGGAGCAATATAAATTTGCTAATAAGCAATGTGGAGAATTGTTATTTCATATGTCAATGTATTTTGCATTGATATTTTGAAAGTTTATTTGAATGTCTTAATTGAAAAAGTCTTTATGGTTCTATAATCTTAATTAAATCTGGCTTTTATTTTCCCACAAAAACAGCTCTACTGGACTCTGTTATTCTAATAATACCTTAACGTGGCTTAGAATATGATCTGAAGGAGCAAAATACTGAAATATAGTATCTATCTCATTTTACTTCTGTATCATATGTATAGTAACCATAGTGTACGCAACATCGCTTCAGTGTAAATACAATAGAGTTATACAGAGGGACTAGCTTTCTTTGCTAGACCACCAAATCAGTAGCTTTCCCTTAAATTTTGCTTCTTCAGTTTTGATGGATAGGTTAGTGAAAAGTTTAAGACTTGTCTGTGAACCTCCCACTCTATAAAATGGAGAAGAATTTTTCAGTTGCATATCCAGATTAACTAATCTCAGAAGAACTGGATGACAAGTTTCTAAGTCTGGTATCAGAAAAAGGCTTTTTAAAAGATGCTTTCAGAAATGCAACAAGATCTGCTGTCAAAGACAACTTGCAGTGCCCTCTGAGTCAATGCCACAGCCATTAACACCAGTAATCCCCAGGAGTCATGACCAAATCCTAGGCTACCTCAAAAAGGGTCCCTTCCATGGCTTCAAGTTTTTTTCTGAAGCAACTGAGCATGCTAGATGCTCTCCCTATAATATCTGAAGTATTGCTATTTTTACTTCATCCTGCAGCCTTGATTATCCTAAGTATCACTAAAAATGCATTGACTTCAGTGGGATTAGTCTCTCCTATATGTTACGTACCAACTGTAAGAATGGTTTCTGGAACCATTCACTAAAGAAGGAAAATAGGTACTAATATATAAAGCTGTATCCTTTTGTATCTGGAGAATTTGTGCTGAAATTCACTGAAATGCTGACAAGCTCCCTTCCATTTTGCTAACCACCTATTTACATAAAAAAGCAAATATTTCTAATAGGTATGACTCTCTGGACATTTAGAAAGCTTATGCAATATAGCCAAAGCCCACTAGAGATATTTTTTAATGTAAAAACAAATGAAGTCTTGTGTAAATATTTCCATAATCATCTTATGCAAATCAGAAATATTTTTCCTAATTGTGCTTCAAAGTAATATCTAGTCTTCAGAAGCACATGCTGAATTCTTTGTGACCCTCTTAAACAGGAATACTGTGTGAAGTATAAATGTCTGAACTAACTATGGTCTCTTGCATGTCTAGAAATAGAAAGGGGAAGAATTAGCAGAGAAAAAATGTTTCAAAGTACAGCTTTTGGTTATATAGTGGTTGTCTACTTCTAGTACTACCTTTTACCAACTTTTTAAAGATAAATAGCGTATTATTTAATATAATTTCTTGGAAGATTTCTAGTATTTTTTAATATTGATGTCTCACATCAAACAGCAATCACAACATTATCCCTCAGCGCATTTCCAGTGCATTCCTGAATATTAATTTCTATTGCTGTATAATTTTTACAAACTTTCTTAAAATTGTTTTCTTAATGAGATGTGGACATTTTTAGGTTACTGCAAATTGTGGAAGAAAAATGTATCTGAAGATGTGAACAAATACTCAGTTCATTAAAAGTTCAGTGCAAATTCTTTTTCTAGCTTTAAAAAATAGCATATAGTTTAATCGTGACTAACAGACTTTAGTTTTGTTTCTTTTACTTCAGTTGTAATTTAGAAGCCCTCTTGCTGTCTACCTTTAATCATGTTGTTTAATAATGAAGAATGAATGGTTTTCAGGAAAGACAGACAACTTTGAGCAGCGATATTAATCCTGCTCTAAACCATTCAAGCAACAAACTCTTATGAAAGTGTCAGCAGCATGCAACACCAAGTCTATGGCTTTCTTTTTTTACTTGGGTTTTGTAGAGCAGGATCCTACAATTTTACACAGGCTTATTGAGATCTTGGCAGCATGAAAAGTGTATTGCCATGGAAGAAAATAGAGCCACAAGCTGAGGGTCTCATTAGATTTCTACCTTGGGAACACTGTCTGAATTTGAACTGTAGGTTTCGATACTTTTTACTCAGTCCTGATTTTATGGTAATAAATAAGATATCTAAACTGTTGTGAGCAGCACCTACTACTTGCAATATGAAAAGACCACACAATTTAAGCAAAAATAAAAAAAAAGTCTACTGTTTTGCTTGAATTAACGTAACTGCATAATTCAAATCCTCCTCACTATTGAGTAACCAAATGCATCATTTTCATTCTATTTAAAATATAATTACTATTACAGTGTTATTGTGTTTCCATAAACGAAAATATTAGAGATTTGTTTGTAATAATTTCTGAATGGCACTGAAAAAAATACAATAAATGACATTTGGAACATCATGTTTTAAGTAGAGTGGCTCAGGATATTTTTTTTTCCATTTATCAGTGGGAAATGTAGTTTCCTTCAAAGTGCTGGTTTGTGCAGGGAAATTCTAGCTTTAATTTTCCTTCAGAAAAAAAACAAAACAAAACAAAAGAAAAAGTGTTGATTTAGAAAGTCAGGGCATCCCAGGGTGAAACTATTTCATGTGTCAAACTGGCTAAGATACTTTGTTTTAGGTTGTCAAGCAGAAACTTGTGTCAGGTCTTGCAAGAATTACAGTACAATTTCCTCAAGCCATCATTCTCTGCGTTGTTCTCTCTCTTTAGATGGCCTTTTCTGTGATACCCTTCTGTCCCGCAACTCTGAAACAGTGCTTCAGAGGAGCTATAGATTAACGCTGGAGTACAAGCCACAGAGAAGAAAGAGAGCAAAAGACACTTGAATCACAGTATTTGGGCAGCACAGGCATCGCAGGTACATTCAGTGCATACAGGTCAAGCTGAGTTGAGCCAAGCAAAACCACTTTGGTTTTAAAAGTAAAAACAGTACATTTTGACATTTCTGAATCAAATTTCTTTCTAATGTTCCAGGCCAGTATTCATGATAATAATGATTTTCCATACAGAAAGTTTTGAAAAGGGTTTATTTGAATGCAGTAAAATATTGCTTTTAAAAAGAGAATCATATATTTACTTCTAAGTCTAATGTATCATTTTATTATGCCTTAACATTTTGACATCTTTTTCACAGTATTTCATACAGCATGATTTTTGGCACTCACACATACCTCAGATAACGATTTAAATATCTTTTCAGGAAGTTAAGTTAGAGAAAATCTTTGTCCATCTTCCAATCTATAGCAACAACAGTCTGATGACACTGCTAATTCCAGTGCAACAAAGATAATTTACTATTTCTCTTCTGCATATTTAGAACCTGCTTAAGTGGAAATAAAGCAAAATTCTGTTAAACAAAACCTTTTGTTATGCCCAAGCAACTTTTGTTGAAATCTACAGGAGTGCATGTACAAGTCAAAAATGGGTCAACAGATATGAAGTTCTTTCATATTCCAAGTGCACTGAAATTCTACAAAAAGGAGAACAATGACAAAATTACAGTTGCTGACAGTTTTGGATGCACTTTTGTATAATGACAAATCTGTCATATTTTCCTGTTGCAGCCAGTAGTTAAACAGCATCTTGTAATTCAGGATACAGCACAATAAGGTATGAAATGGAACAGTCATGAAAAGCCAATTTAGGAAACAAAAGCTGCTTAACTGACATCCATCACGTACCCTCACCTTTGATATTCATCATCCACTGTTGGACCTACCTGCAAATTTAGTTAGCTAGCTATTTAGCCCTTTTATTTTTCCTACTTTTTAGGAAAGGTCTAAAAAAATAAAATAAAAGATATATATTCCTTAAAGGCTTTTTTCCAACTCATTCATTAAAGATTTGATTCAAGCCAGTCAAAATCTAGGTAAAATAAATAGTAATTTTGTACCTGCAGGCTTTGATCTTACAGTGATCCAGTACCAAAGATCTGGGCAAGGGTCTGTCCATG